AGATACACATAGGTACAAAGAGATAGAAGGGAAACATCAGTCATTTTGTAAACCACAAACAGAAAGCAATTATATTAATTAGGGGAAAATTACATTTTATGTATAAAGTTTGTCATATTTTCTTTGGGGCTTACATTTATTCTTTTGTTCAATAAATATTTTGAAATTTCAGATTTATTTGTCAATATTTTCTATTTTCTGCAAGATCAATGTACTATGTGTTATGGAAGTTATGAACTAAATAATTCGAATGTGAGCCAACAGAGTAATTGATTTTTCAAATGATAAGAACTTATTTGAATACAGTAAATTTATATATATATATGTCTATGTATTCAGTTTAACCCAACAACTAAACACTCACATTCAAGTGTACACTGAGTATTTGCCAGAGTAGATATGTGGGGTCATAGACAAAACTCATTAATATTAAAATTGAAATAATATACATCCCATTCTCTAATGGCAACAAAGTTGTTAGAAATCAGTAATGGGAAGAAACCCATGAATCCTTTAAATCTATGGAAATTAACCCTTTTATTTATTTATTTATTTATTTATTTATTTATTTATTTTTGAGACGGAGTTTCACTCTTGTTACCCAGGCTGGAGTGCAATGGCGCGATCTCGGCTCACCGCAACATCCGCCTCCTGGGTTCAGGCAATTCTCCTGCCTCAACCTCCTGAGTAGCTGGGATTACAGGCACGCGCCACCATGCCCAGCTAATTTTTTGTAGTTTTAGTAGGGATGGGGTTTCACCATGTTGACCAGGATGGTCTCGATCTCTTTGACCTCGTGATCCACCCGCCTCGGCCTCCCAAAGTGCTGGGATTACAGGCGTGAGCCACTGCGCCCAGTCGGAAATTAACCCTTTTAAATAAATCCTGATCAAATATTAAATTACGCTAGAACTTACAACTATCCTGAACTGAATTAAAGTAAAATTAACAAAAATTTTAGATGCAGTTAAAAAAAAACAAACAAAAAAAAAAAAAAAAAAAAAGGACTTTGGGAGGAATCTGCATTTCCCTCTAGACTAAGCCAGATCCCAGTGCTTGGGTCAAGTGGAGCCAGAGACAGTGGGACTCTCTTAGAACTCCAGGGACAGTCAACTTTCAGGAGGTGGTGCTGAGAAGAGAGTCCTCACAGAGTTCTGGGTCAGCCACGATGGCATTTCCCCAGGACAACTGTGGGCTTGAAGAGACTTATGTCACTATCTGGCATTTTTCTAAACCCAAGCAGGGCTTTAGAATACCCAGAGCCATCACAGGATTCAGGATCTGTCTCAGGACAGCAGGAACCTAGCGGAGAAGCCCAGTTCTGGGGTCTGGAGCTAACAGCCCCCAGATTACCTTCAGTCCACTTCTAGTTACCCCCCTAAGCAGCAGCCTCTCCATCCTCTTGAAATCCCCAGGATCAATGGGACAGAGTCCTGTGAGAGAGAACCATGGAGAGAATGGTGAGGGCTCTGGTACCTCCCAAGCGGAACCTAACACACACTTCCAGATCTGCTGACAACCTAAAACCAAGAAAGTGCACTTCAAAGAGTGGTCACTGGGTGTCACCACTGCTTCTTAGGCAAGTGCCCTGGTCTGTGAGCTAATGTCGAAGGTCGCTGGGGAGAGAAAAATTCCTTCTTGGAGACTCTGTTTACAGGCCTGATATCTCCTGTGCTTCCCTTGAGCTCCATGACATTCACATTACTCTCACCCCCCTGGTCCTACTGCCTGGCCTGGATCAGACAGGCCACCACCAAGCTGCTCTCTTGCTCTTCTCTCCTTCCCAGCTCCCTTGGCAAAACACAAACTCCGTGTTCTCCATGCTGGCACTGGAGCATGTAGTTAGGGAAAGTCACCCAAGGCTGTCTTTGCTTTTGATTCATGATCACAAATCTTAAACAGACGCTTATTCCTGGTCACCCATCTGTACATAAGTGTCCAGCTCTCACTCTCTCACTCCCTCAAACTTCATATGGAATCGTCAAACCTCCCATGCCCCTGTTCTGCTTGTACTTGTTCCATTTATAAAGAAATACTAACTCCCTGTTTTCATCACCTAACCCCACTAAAATGTGTATGTATCTTCTCCTCTTTCACCTCTACTCTGTACCTCATCTCCCCTTACTTTCTTGAGGTCCTTTGGCTTTCTCTACTTTCTTCTGGATTAATATAACCCTCTATCCTAAAGAATTCCCAACAATGAACAATTAAGCTCTAATGTCCCTCATCTTAAAAAAAAAAAAAAAGTCTTTATACCAAATGACTCTCCAGTTACCAGTCTGAGTCCCTCTTCTCTTTCAAACTAGATTTCACCTTTCATCTCAACACCATTTAAAAAAAAAAAAAATGCTGTCTCTATTAACTAGCCCCCATTCACTCTTCAACCTGCTCAAATCTGGCTGATGCCCAGCGTGCTCCACTGAGTTGATTTCTCAGGGTCACCATGACCTCCATGTTACGGGCAAAAATATCCTCACATTTCCACCAGGATTGTGGACACCAGTCTGGACAATGTTCTCCCTCTTGGCTTCCATGACCCACCCTCTCCTGATTTTCTTAGATTTATCCTTGGTTTCCTTTGTTGGTTCCTTCACTCTCTGATATTAAATACTAGAATTTTCAGTCTTTTTCTTGGATAGTTTTCTCTTTTTCTTTTTACCCTATCTACCTGGATAATCTCACCCATTCCTATTGATCTATACATCACCTTTTGATGCTGATGGCTCCTAGATTTGTATTTTGGGCCCGGTTCACAACTTCACTTGCACATTCGTGAGCGTGTCCAGAATGGAATTCTCAATTTCTTTCGTATTTAGTCTTCTCCATCTCTGTAAATTGCACTGCTGTTGCCCACAATGCCCAAGCCCCAAACACAAGAATCAGCATTTTCTTCACGCTCATATTCATTCCATGAGCACCTTCTATTCTCTCTCCAAAATTCATTTCAAATTTCTCACTTCTACTTTCCCCCTCATCTGAACCACCATCACCTCCCTATGAAACTGACACAGAACATTTCTAACTTTCTCATTTCCACACTTTTTGATCCAGCAGCAACAGAGGTGTAAAAACTAAGTCAGTGCTGGGACCATTCTGTTTCTTAATCTGGTATATATATATGTAGAACTTTGTGGTGTGCTTAAGATTTGTACACTTTGCTCTAGGTTATATCTCAAATAAAAACAACAACAACAACAACAACAAAACAACAAAACAACAAAATAAAGCCAGGTTCATTGGTACGTGCCTGTAATCCAGGCTACTTGGGAGGTCAAGGCAGGAGGATGGCTTGAGCCCAGGAACTTAAGACTGGCCTGGGCAACATAGAAAGACCCTGTCTGAGAACAAAACACCTAAGTAAAATGCCAATTCCCTTTTTTTTTTTTTCTTTTTTACGAGTCTCAAAGATCTGATGGTTTAAAAAAAAATGCCAATTTTCTAGTTAATATTCTTCAGTGGTGTCCCTCTGAACTTAGGGTAAAAACCAAGACCTGCATCACTTGGCCCCAGTTTTTCCCTCCAGCTTTAGCTCCTATTGTATTTCTGCCTTGCTTGCTGGAGCCCAGCTGTCCCAGCTTCATTTAGTTTCCCCAATAATCCAAGAGCTGTCCTGCCTGCCTCAGGGCCTTTGCTCAGACTGTTTCCTTAGCCCAGGACCCTTCTCCATTCTCAGGACCTTCTCCTTCATGTCACCTACCCAGGCTTTCCCAGGCTCCCTGCCCGCTCCCCCCCATCTAGACCATGTCTTCCCATTTATCCTTTCTGCTGCTTACTGTGGTTTTTTTTTTTTTTTTTTTTTTTTTAGACAGGGTTTCACTCCTGTGGCCGAGGCTGGAGTACAATGGTACAATCTCGGTTTGCTGCAACCTCTGCTTCCTGGGCTCAAGCAATTCTACTGCCTCAGAATCCCAAGTAGCTGGGACTACAGGCACGTGCCACCACACCCAGCTAATTGTTGTATTTTTAATAGAGATGAGGTTTCACCATATTGCTCAAACTGGTGTCCAACTCCTGGGCTCAAGTGATCTGTCCACCTCTGCCTCCCAAAGTGCTGGGATTACAGGTATGAGCCACCATCACTTCCCACAGTCAAAAGCTGTGGTCTGATCCAACACCCAGTACTCATGGTTTCTATGAATTCGTGTACAAGTGGACCATAAGCGAACTTCAAGTTGAATGATGAATTAAAAAAAAAAATCATAAACCACCTAAAGGAACAACGGCAGGCATATGATGAAACAGGCTATTGTACCGTGAAAGGAAAATAAATATTGGGACCCCAAAATCACTAAGGTAAAGGGAAAAGTCCAACTGGGAGCTGCTTAGGACAAACCTGCCTCCCATTGATTTTATAAACCTATTATAATTGTCTTTTTCAACAGTTGGGACCAGATTATACATTTGACACTTGTACACTTATTACACGTTATTATATAAAAGTGCTACACAGATAGCCAATGCCAAAATTCTTATACTCAAAGAGCAAGCAGATACCTTTTGCATTAGTTCCTATAAATCATGGCAGAGGTGCTTTAAAAATCGCCTTTCCTCATAGGAGTCTAAACAATGTCTCAACACTGTCAAGAGCCATAGCAATCTACACAAGCCAGGTAAAGGGAAGATTAGGGCCAAGCAAAGGTTGGGGGCGGGGACTGGAGAGGCAAGCACAGGTGGATAGGGAGAAAGCCAGAAGCTGGCAGCAGTCCTCATTACCCTGCAAGTTTGGGCAATACTGTCTACTTTCAAGCTCCCCTCTCCCTGGATTAGTACCCCCACATCTATGCCCCTCACCTTGCCCTCAATCCTGTGTGATCTCAGTTCATTCTGGCGCAGCAGTCTCCACCCTCAGTCTGGAGTGAGGAGAGACGATGGATATACAATGTCACAGATCTTGTTGTGTCCTCCAAAGAATAAAATGGGTAAGTGCAAAACAGGGGAGTAGTATGCATAAGAAATTTAAGGCCACTGACAACAAGCACATGCACACGTGCACACACAGCTTGCACAAGAGAAAATGCCTTTATTATTTTCATGAAGTAAGTCAGAGGCCAAAAACACAGGCCCATGAGACTAAGTGTGCAGCAGTGAAACTCCTCGTGTAGCAGGACGGCTTCTCAGACACCTTGTCTTCCAAGCCAGCCTTCTAACATATCCAGTTTTCCGACAAATGCAGTCATTTTAACAAGGCCATTCAGAACAACTTCATTTATTCAAAAGCTCTTCTGAGAGGATCTCTGCTTAACTGCGCCAAGGATCTCTCTGCCAGTGATGGCTCTTCTGTGGTTGTAGAAGGACAGTCTAAATGCCTCCAGGCTAACCCATTCCAGTTGCCCAGCATTCAGAGCACCTAGTGCATACAAGACCCAGGAGCGCCCGCTGAAGTCAGGGTGGGTCTAGGGGAGAAAGGGCACAGAGGTGAGACAGAAGTAAAGGCTTCCCACAGTGAACAGTTGTGGTCTGACCCAACACCCAGTACTCATGATTTCTATGAATTTATGTACAAGTGGAACATAAGTGACCTTCAAGTTGAATGATGAATTTTAAAAAACCCATAAACCACCTAAAGGGTCAACAACAGGCATTTGATGAAACAGGCTATTGTACTATAAAAGGAAAATAAATCTTGGGACCCCAAAATCACTAAGCTAAAGGGAAAAGTCAAACTGGGAACTGCTTAGGACAAACGTGCCTCCCATTCTATTCAAAGTCACCTTTCTACTGAGATACATACATATCTGATTGCCTCATTTGGAGAAGCTAATCAGAAACTCAATAGAATACGACCATTTGTCTCTTACCTACCTATGACCTGGGAGCCTCCTCCCCACTTTGAGTTGTCCCGCCTTTGCCTCGAGTTGCCCTACCTTTCCAGACTGAACCAATGTGCATCTTATACATATTGATTGATATCTTATGGCTCCCTATAACACGCAAAAACACACTGTGCCTCTACCACCTTGGGCATATGTCATCAGAACCTCCTGAGACTGTATCACGGATGCACGTCCTCAACCTTGACAAAATAGTTTCTAAATTAACTGACAAAAACACATACCAAAAAAACCCACACATACAAAAAATTAACTGAGACCCATCTCAGATTTTGGGGGTTCACATTTTGGTAACCGTAAAGGGATTCTGACCTTTACGAATATGCCCCTGACCTTTGACAAATCTCCTGTTGGTGCTTGGTACCAGCATGAGCTAACTTTATGGCTCAAACCAATAAAACAATTTACTGAAATCTGGGAGTACCCCCTCTAGAGAATCCCTGATCTCCTCAAATTTAGTCAAGCAGTTTACTTTGCTGTGCAACTACACACACACACACACTTTTTTTTTTTTTTTTTTGGCGTTTTTCTTTTTTTTTTTTTTTTTGTTTCTATATTTTTCCATCCTTTTTTTTTTTTTTTTGGCGTTTTTCTTGCTGCCAATAAGGAAGGCCACATTGCCTGTATCCAGGACGATGGAAGGCAGGAAACTCCTTTATGGAGTTTGAGCTCACTTCCAGCGGTAAGACGTGTTTGAGACCTTTTTTCCTGTTTCTAGGCTGATAGAAAGCAGTCTTCAGCCTCAGACCCATCCCTAGGTAAATAACTAAATTGGGATTTTGTCCTGGCTAAAGTTTAACAACCAGCTGGTCTTGATTTTTTCTTACTATTAGAACACTCAGTGATCATATTGTTGGGTTTTTGTTGTCGTTGTTGTTCCTCACTTTCTCCCAACAGATTTGACCAGCTTTACCTGACTTGGTCAAATCCAAGTGAGAATTCCAAATTATGGGTGACAAAACCTCTCTAATTTGACTAAAATTCCTCACAACTGCATGAGTTAAAAAAAAAGAAAAAAACCCCACACCTTTGGTTTCTGTGCTTACTTTCTGTCTTAAAAAGCTATTTTGTTTACTTTTCTTCCACCCTATACCTCCTTCCCCCTTTGCCATCTACAGTACCAAAAAATCTAGAGAAGGCTTCTAATGACTTGAATCCCTTAAAAGAGTCTGGAACAAAGGTGCCAGTCACACCTTTTAGGGTGTTCTGTTTTCTTTGTCGAGTTTCAAGAGTCACAGGCAGATTTTTCTTACATCTATAGGTCTGTTTTTCTGTATTACATGACCTGACCTCTTTGGCTTTGGGGATACCAGAGATTACCTTGTACTGTGAGAGGATTTGACCTCGATGTGTGTAACGGCAGATGAGAGCTACAAAGTAGGAGTGGCTGAATACAGTTTACGGGAAATGCCTTTGGTTGTTTTTTGTTTTTTGTTTTTTTTTCTTTCTTTCTTTCCTAGGAAATTGTTTGAGGATCCTAATTCTAATTTGGAGATACATCCCAAGGGGTCTTCTCTATAACTTTGTCTCCCAAAATTAATCTCGATTTGGCTTGTCTGTGTACATTTACATGAAGAACTGAATTGTTGTTTTCATAGAAAAATGAAAGACTCAGTTTTCTCAGTTCGACCAGGGACCTCGTGGGAGTGTCTGGGGGGTTGACTCCCATGATGTACAACAGCCCCACAGGGAAATCTCCAACAAAAATTAATTAAAAAAAAAAAAAAGACTCAGCCAGGAAATACATATAAAAAGTGATCACCTGGCATCTTGAACCCCCTCAGAAGTCAGACCTCTGGAGAGAGAAACTGAGACGTGTAAGAGGGTGGAAACAACTCAGTGGTGACACGCTGTGGAATCCTCCCCACAAGCAGCACACATCAACCCACCACACGATAAACCTAGGCCACAGCTCAGTTCCTCCTCTTTAGACAAAAGGTGAGAAACAAATAATCTAAGAAGGAGGAGAAAAACAGGAAAATGACACCCTTTTTAACACTCCATAGGTTTTATAACACCTCTACTTGCCAGAGTTTATGTAAAATGGAATATTGTCTTTGTACACATTTACATTAAAGAAAAAGAGCCTTAAGGTCAACCTGCAAACTATAGAGCTCCTAAGTTCTTTTTCTCTACTTCTTTTTCTGCCTGCTTTAAATCTGCTGTCATTTTTCTTTTCAGATAAAAACCACGGTCTAGATAAAACATGTTCTTTTTGCAAACTGGTGAATGTGTATTGATCCCATGGCTAAAGTTCTGAAGTAAAAACTATAGGATCTGTGTGTGTGTGTGTGTGTGTGTGTGTGTGTGTGTGTGTGTATTTAAAAGGACTTTATAATTTCTGTAATTTTATGTTTAAATAACAAATCCATTTTAATTTCCCTCTAACACAGACTTTTTCTACCCATAACTTATGATATAAATTTTGCTATTAGATTTTCACCCAAGTTGTTTCCTTTAATATACAAATTTAAGACTAACTGACAACTGCCTAATAAAACAGGTTGTCAAGAATTTGAAAGTCTAAGATAGGAAAAAAAAGTTTTTTATGAATCGCTAATATGTACTTCTACTGGCATGCATATTATAAATATGTATTTATGTGTTATATAATATTTCACTACTGAAAATATAAAAGAACTCTATTTGGCTTAATAAAATAAAAACACTTGAATCAAATAGTTTATCAAGAAAAAAAAAGACTAGTCAAATGCTCTTTCAAGTTTACATAACTTAAGTAAAATCTTTAATAAATTAATTTTAATATTATTGGTAAAGTAATATTGGAAATGTCTTAATAATTGCAAATATACATTCTTGTTTGTATTTATTAATCAAATAATTTCATTCTCATCCCTGCCAAATGCTATAAGGTGTCAAAATTTGGTATAGGGGTTACAAAACTACAAACAGCCCAAAACAGAATGATCTTTTACTGTGTAATCTTTAATAAAATACTGATATTAGTTTAATAAAAATGACTACATCTTGAATTTAGTAAGCTTATTGTAACTCTAATCTTGTGACTTTGGATGGTCTAGTCCACAGGCAGTAAGATTTGTTTTGGGAAGGGACTGTTATCGTCTTTGTTTCAAAGCTAAACTATAAATTCCTCCCAAAGTTAATTCAGCCTATACCCCAAAATGAACAAGGACAACTTGGAGGCTAAAAACAAGATAGAGTCAGTTAACTCAGATCTTTTTCACTGACTCAGTTATAATTTTACAATGTCGGTTCCATAACTTTAAATGATGACTATCACAGTTTTCGTAAATTATCTAGGTAAGTGACTTTTGCCTAATTCAAAACCTATTTAAAGGTTATGTATAAAACAAGATAATAGGAACCAAGAAATGAGAAAGATATAAAGAAAGCTATAAAAATAAAGAGGTTTTTTTTTTGTAAGAAAGCTTAAAGAGAAATAATTTTATATGAGAGAGTCTTGTTTGGTAGATTTAGTCCTAAAGTAAAATGACTCGTTGTTTAAAAAAGAGGGATGTTCAGGACAAAAGAAAGTTCAAACATGTCATGAACAGTCTGTGCAAGTCACAATAAGAAAATTTATTTTTTTAGAAAAGTTTTATATGATAAAGTTTTCTATTAGTTAAAGAAAAAGTATAATGGTCTTTCTAGAAACTGGGCTTGATGTCAAAAAAAAAAAACACATACACTAAATAATTGGTTAGAAGAATGAAATTTTCTTAAGGGATTGATTTACTTTTAATAAATTATTCAACTTATTCAAATAAAAAGTTCAACTTTTGGCTGGGTGCAGTGGCTCACGCCTGTAATCCCAGCACTTTGGGAGGCTGAGGCAGGTGGATCATGAGGTCAAGAGATCGAAACCATCCTGGCCAACATGGTGAAACCCCGTCTCTACTAAAAAATACGAAAATTAGCTGGGCATGGTGGCACGTGCCTGTAATCCCAGCTACTGGGGAGGCTGAGGCAGGAGAATTGCTTGAACCCAGGAGGCGGAGGTTGCAGTGAGCCAAGATCATGTCACTGCACTCCAGCCTGGCGCCTGGCAACAGAGCAAGACTCTGTCTCAAAAAAAAAAAGTGGCCAGGCACGGTGGCTTACGCCTGTAATCCCAGCACTTTCGGAGGCCGACGCGGGCGGATCACGAGGTCAAGAGATTGAGACCATCCTGGCCAACATGGTAAAACCCTGTCTCTACTAAAAAATACAAAAATTAGCTGGGTGTGGTGGTCGCACGCCTGTAGTCCCAGCTACTCGGGAGGCTGAGGCAGGAGAATTGCTTGAACCCAGGTGGCGGAGATTGCAGTGAGCTGAGATTGCGCCACTGCACTCCAGCCTGGCTCCTGGCGACANAAAAAAAAAAAAAAAAAAAAAAAAAAAGGTTCAACTTTTACTGCATCTTGCCATTTTTGGTTTTCTTTCTCCTTTTAAAGGGCACAAAATAGTAATGCTCTCCTTCAACTCATTTTCAGCTCATAAATCACTTTTCCTTGAGTTCTGTTTATGTGGTCCAATACTAACAATATTTTCTTAAAGGTCTAAAGGAAATGTTTTCTTCTAGTATAATATTCTGTACAGTA